TTGCTGACTATAATGACTTTAGTTGTCATGGTTGTTGAAGTGTTCGTTGCTATTTATTATCATAAAAAAATTTACGAAAACAAAGCAGGTAGTTTGGGTGTAACATAGAGTGCGATATAGAACTTGAAGCACTTAAGCTTTAGATGTAGTCTAACAATGGAGGTTCGTGTAATGTAACCGAGCTAGACTTGATATTTTAGCATCAAAAGATAGCTCTCATCGTCAAACTAACAAGGTTAAAATATTAGCGGCTGTTGGCTTGCCTAGAGGGAGATATTTAAATTTTAAGTGTAGGTATAAAAGTGAATCGGAAAGGTTTTTCTCCACTATTATAAGGACAGAGCATAGTGTTGTTCGGGGCGATTGTGGGGTTTGTAGGGTCTCTCTTTCATATGGCCCGAACAACACTATGTTCTGTCCTTATAGTAGTAGGGTAAATTTGTCCCGTAGCTCATGGAAACAGCTTTTTTCTAACAACCACTAAAAAAATTCACTCCACTATTACAAGGACAAGACATCGTGTTGTTCGGGGCGATTATGGGGTTTGCAGGGTCCCTCTTTCATATGGCTCGAACAACATCATGTTTTGTCCTTATAATAGCGGAGTGCATTTTTCTAGTGACTCATAAGAAAAGTTGTTCCCATGAGCTACAGGACAAATTCACTCTACTACTATAAGGACAGAACATATTGTTGTTCGGGCCATATGAAAGAGAGACCCTACAAACCCCACAATCGCCCCGAACAACACTATGCTCTGTCCTTATAATAGTGGAGAAAAACCTTTCCGATTCACTTTTATACCTACACTTAAAATTTAAATATCTCCCTCTAGGCAAGCCAACAGCCGCTAATATTTTAACCTTGTTAGTTTGACGATGAGAGCTATCTTTTGATCCTAAAATATCAAGTCTAGCTCGGTTACAGTACACGAACCTCCATTGTAAGTAATGTTTCAAAGCAGAGAGACGGTCTCAAACGGTCTTGTAATCGAATTTTTTCTTTCAAAAACTGATGTTTGATGGAAAACCACTGTATTCATCAGAGGCCAAAACCAAGTAAAAATGTCGACGATTCGATTCAGTATGATTTGATTGAATCAAATCGAATCAAATCTAATTGAATTGAGCGATATCAATTGGACACCTCAGATCTGCTTTCTTGATTTTGAGAAATCTTGAAAACAAACCAAAGACTTGTGAGACAGCGAAAAAATCATCTCATCTAGAGCGTCATAGATTATTTGTCTGATCTGTATAGCTATACTTGCGGAAACTCGTCAAAAGAAATTAAAATGAGGTAAATCTAGCTGAAAAACAGCTGATGCAAGCGTTTCCGAGACTAAAGTGAAAGCTTATTCTATTCAAATTCGGCCCTTCTGTTCCATTTTGGATACGCACAACAATTTATGTGCACTGGCTGCTGTTGCAGTACAAGATCGTTATCCGAAGTATGAAGGATGTGATTTCAACCTCTCACATAAAGTGCTCATCTGCAACGGTGTTAATCTCAGGTCATTAGAATATTCTGACGTGAAATCAGCACTATGAGGGAAATGAATTTAAAGGAATATTCGAAAAAACAGAATAATATTATAGAGATAAATTGTTACGAATTGTCTCGATCCTCTCGTTATTAGACAATTTGAATTTTTATATTCTTCTCTTACGAAATAAATCTTGGAAATTTCTCATATTCAGGTATTGTCTCCAAAATACGTATCTGTACTAACGGTGACTCGCCAACATGCATTCTGCTCTCATTAGTACTTTACTGAGGCAGCTCAGCCAATGGCGTTGCAAGCCTTGAAAAACGGCTTACATACACAGCTGCATTACTTTTCATAAGTGGTCATATTCATCCAATTCAATCATTAATGTTCTTTTGAGCTCTAGCGATCACTGCGTCATATCTAAATGGCTAATGTTCACTTTGACATATTTACTCATTAGAAATAAAAGAGAGAGAATTATAAATGCGTCTTCTTATGTACTAGCTGTCAATCAGAGTTGTTTTGAAAAAAGTACTGTCTATTGAACTTAATTTTTACAAGAATGAGTCAACAATATAACGAACATTCGGGGATGAAGAAGAGGGTGGTAAAAAAGAACTGATATACCCTATGAAGATTCCAACATATTACACGTTCTACAGAATTGAATCAAATCAAACAATCGATTTTTCATTTTTTTTCGGTCTCTGATGCACATTCAAAACTTTCCTGTGTTTTCATGTATTGCTAAATATAACTACAAATTCTTCATTTTAAATTAATGGATATGGTCCATGAGAAGAAACGAAACTTTTTCCCCAATAATTACATTTCACTTTGTTTTCTTCACGATTTATCTACATCTTTTAAAGCCTCTTCGGCTCTTCCTCACCATTCTCCTATGTGTGGGTGTGGCGCGGGCAGATGAACAAAGGTCCGCTGACGCTCCGACCCAATCTACATCCACCTACCTGAAAAATTCCGTTCAATTACTACGAGTTCAATAGTCTTTATTCACCTTGAGAAATACTTTTAGAAGAAACATGCATTATAAGTATTGTTATTTTGGCGCACCGACTAATTTTATACAAAACTTTCAATGAAATTTAGCAAGACTTGGAACGCTCCTCTATCAACCCAAAAAAAAACCTTGAATTTTAGTTAAGAAATGACGAAGACATTCAAGTATTTTTCATGGCAGGCTTTTGGAACAACTTGTATATTCCCAAGCAATATCAAGAATTCTAATAGAACCGCTCTTAGCACAAATACAATATCAACTTATTCGTTTCTTCCGAGCACGGGAGGCCGATTGATGCAATGGAATTCGGACAAAAGCAGCCGACTATATAATTTCTAGAAAATGCTTGTTCAACACAAGTAGCTTCGAATACTTCGCATATACTTTCGCAATCACAGAATCCTTTTGAGGCAGAATATGCAGTGTATCATAAAAGTCGCTTGTGTAAAGTAATGTCCCATAACTCTACTATTTAATTAAACTTAAGTGATTAAGGTTTTTTCACGGTGGGTGAGAGGTGTTTGATGAGGGTCTTCTCTTCACCTTCACCTTCACCTATCTACATCCATCAAGACCATCATACCCTCTCCAACCTCAAACTGTCACCATCGTCCGTCCTCTTTCGAATCACTGGAAAGAAATATATTCTTTTTTTTGAAAACTTCAGGTGAAGTCCCTAATTCGGTTCTCTCGAGAATATCTTACTGTGCACCGAATATTCAGTTTAACGTCCCTTATCATTGAGTGCTATGTCATGAGAACATACATATCTCTCTAGGATTCTCTTAGTCTCATCGAAGTTTATTTATGGGCACAAGTTGAGATTTTTATCGTGAAACTAGTGAGAGTATCTCCTTGGTCAGTAGTTTTTCTAATAGTATAAAAGCAAATTTCTGCATTTCGGTGGTTAGCGGCAGTTTTCAAGAGTAGCTGAGATATTTCTCTTTATGAATAAAAACTTGCCGATGACGGTAACTATCATAAGAAAAAAAGAGAATCACTTAGGTTTAATCAAAAAGTGGTGTTATTTGAAATTATTTTACACCAGCGAGTTTTGGAGCACGTGGTTAGAAATCAGAATCTTGGATAGTAACTTACGACACCGTTGATTCATCTGAAACTGCTTATCAGGACACGTAGAAATAACTGTTTCACTTAAGGTTTCATAACAATCATAGTCATTGGCTGGTATAAAATGATCGTCGAGTTCGCATATTGAACAGATTTTTAACATGGAATAGGGAGCTTATTTAAGACAGTAGTACATATTTCACTTACCAGAAGCAGTTGCTGTTGTAATCAGCGCGACGAAAACGACGGCACAAACCAGAGTCATCATTCAATTGATCAAAAAATGTCTTGGATACGAAATAGATAAGTGTGAGTCGCAGCTGCAAAGTTTCTCAGTTATGCTTTTTCTCATTTCTAGCACAATGATAAGTGAGTGTGGGTTGCCACTATGTGTGCGAGTAGTTCCACCGTATGTGTGACAGTTTTCAACGACATTCTTCGAGGATGTGGATGCTGTGGGTGTGTAATGAATTTGTTAGCTACCACAACGCGTTTCGTTCTGGCAAAGGGTGTGGGTGTGGGTGTTGACCTTCTCTTCACCAGTACCCACACCCACACCCAACAGCATCTTTTTTCTACATATAACCATTATTCCAGTTCTCTAAAACATTATTCCTATGAAAATGATTACTTGTAAATTTATATTATTCCATGAACAACTGATGTGTTAAATTAAAAAGTAGATCGTTGTTCCAATGATATAATGGCTTTTTCTCCTCGATCGAAAAGTTGTCCACTGCTGATGAAATCAATAGAATGAATGGCATCATGAATCAGCCGTTTTGTCTAGATTTGGCCATTCTCATGAATAGAAGAAAAATTTTCCATCAATAAGTATGAATAAATAAAATAATAGAGTTATAAATGTTGAAAAGATAAAAGAAACGTTAAACCTGTGTACGATTAATTTTTATGAAATATTATTTTCTACTTATTTTGTCTAAGAATTAACCATATGCAACAAACTCGTTGTGACAGTTTATCTTTAAAAAAACTTGAAATTCCAATGATATCGAATAACGATTGGCAGGGATGTGAATGGATAAAAAAAAAGTAAATGATCATTTTGATGACATATTTATTTAGCAGTATTCGTTATACTGTCGTCCATAAGTTTTCATTGACGATTATTTACTTTTATTTAAAAGTGTTGTCTGATTTCTTTAATATATTTTTTTTTACTACACAATAGAAAAATGTATCTTTTTTTTAATTCTGCGATATAAATAAAAGGAAAAAAACAGATGTCAAAATGCATATTCCTTTCATGCGCAATGAGCAATGAGACAACAAATATATACTTTCTATGCTATTCTTCATTCATTTCTATCTTTAACATGCGTGTGCATCAGTGATAGCTTGAAAAAATCTTTTTCGATCTATACTCTTTGATCTATATCATTCTTGGAATCAGTTATGACTATCAGTCTCATCAATAGTATATCTGACGATAGTGTTCAACAGAATGACGCTTCATTACATATCTTATCGGAATTACGTTTATCACCAACTGTTTCTTTTTGGGTTATTCTTAGTTTTGAAGTTCCATCGTTGCTCTGCTCTTTTTTCCTACTTTACCATCTATGTTTCAATCGAGCATTACGACAAGCACTGAACAATCATGTCATCATCGTCATACTCATTGTTGTTTTTTTCTCTCAGACTGCTGATGTTCCAAATATCCTTAGTTATCTTCGTTTGGGTCATGTTTGGCCTCAAACACCATTGAATTGCTATGTTTGGTGGTTTGTGGGTACAGCTAATTATAATACGATTGGTATGCTTATGGCATGGGCATCAATTGAGAGACATATTCTTGTATTTCATCATCAATGGTTGAACACTCAGAAAAAACGTATTTATATTCATTATATGCCATTGGCAATAATCGTTCTGTATGCTATTATTTTCTTTACGATCTGTATTTTTTTCATACCTTGTGATAATATATTCGTTTATACTCAACCTTGGTGTTTAGCTCCATGTTTTACCACAAATAATGCTGTATTGTTGTTTGATACTTTAGTGAATGGTGTCTTTCCATGTTTTGCCATCACTATTCTCAATATTTTATTACTTATTCGTGTTATCAAACAAAAGCAACGTCTTCGTCAACAAGTTGAATGGCATAAATATCAAAGAATGATTATTCAATTAGCATCCTGTTCAGCATTCTTTCTTTTATTTAATCTGCCTTTCAAATGTCTGTCTCTGGCTTATATATTTGGCGTACCATACGGTTCGATGGGCAAAGTTGAATTGTTAACATATTTTTTTAGTAATTTTATTAGTGTTGGAATGCCTTTCATCTGTCTTGGATCATCACCAGAGATCTGGAGAAAACTCAAAGAAATAATGAAAGTACAATATTTCGTAACTAGAATTACACCACAAATATCATAATGTGTTCAATAACTATAAAGTTTATTAGCTGTACTGGCAACAAAGCATCAGATAGATAATAACATTTATAGATCGAATACTTTGTTTTGAAAAGCTTTTATATCTAAATTGTATATGCACTTGATTTTTAATCGTTCCAAAACAAATAAAGTTAACAAAAGGCATTAAATGATGACACATGTTTTTTTTCCTCTCGGAAAGTATTTTGATGGACATTTGGTTCTTTGTCTATAACTGAGAAAATGACTGACTTCATGAGAATTTGTAATTGAGGACACATCCAACACTATCTATGAGAGTTTTGTCTGACTAAACTCTTTTGAGTTAATTCATTAGTTCTATGAAAGATTCTTGAACGAAAATTACCTGTCTTCACTTAATATTCAAAGAGAATATAACAAAAATCTTTCTGTGCTTTGCTTATAAAGATTTAGCTTTGGATAGAATTTGGCAGCAAGTGAGCAAACCTGAATCAAACATAGCCAATTTTTAGGGACAATTGGTAGTAAAGTTGCTGATTCAACAATAAAGCTTGGTATGCTTATTGTCGATGCTGCGAAAAACATAGCTGATGCTTACACTTCGAGGAGAGATTTGGCTCTAGGTATATCGATTGGAGCGATAGAAGCCTTTCCTGTGGTAAAGTTCGTATGTGCAAAAACAGAAATGAAATGGTTCATAGGATTCGACGTCGTGGCTAGCGTTTGCTACATGTTAGTTATAGTTGGTTTTCAACGGGCGATCCAAACATGCTTTCATTCGAACAATCGACTCTAATTCTACATGAATGAATAGAAATCAATATAAGTACTCATTATTGTATTGCGCCACTTTGGTTTAGTGATGATATTGTGATGAGAAAGAAAATGTCTCAAAATGAAGTGGATCAGAAAGGAATTCGTTGTGCCAATAAAACATACCATTCTGATGTTCAGACAGTGGATGCTCATTCGTTATCAACTCCACTGGAAAAAATAATTGATTGGCTAAATAGTAAACAGTTCATACTGTCTTATTATTGGTCAAAACATAATTGTCAATATTTTTGCGAAGCCTTCATAAATCGTTTTAAATTTAAAATCCATATTTAGATGTTTAAGATGTTTACGCTCATCTTTTGATCATAAGTAGATTTATCTTTCTATGTAATATGTATCTTCTTTCCTTTCATATTGAATCTCGAGAAGGGTGGGGTGGGTGT